TAGAATAGAATAGAATAGAATAGAATAGAATAGAATAGAATAGAATAACAGGAGTTGGAAGGAACCTTGGAGGTCTTCAAGTCCAACCCCCTGCTTAGGCAGGAAACCCTGTACCATTTCAGACAAATGGTTATCCAATGTCTTCTTCTTAAAAATGTTCAGTGTTGGAGCAGTCACACTTCTGGAGGCAAGTTGTTCCACTGTTAATAGTTCTAATGGTCAGGAAATTTCTCCTTAGGTTGCTATAAAAGTATAAATACTTTTGTTTGTCATGAAATTGACACTCCTAAAACAAGATACCGACACAATTTTGACTTCATAGAGTAACAGTTTGCAGCTTGGAAAATAGTTCTTTCTTAAATATTTTTCTTTCAATATTTATTAATTTATCCATACTTAATTATCAGCAGAACAAGCAAAAATGTGTGTAAATAGGAATTTAAACTTTTTATTGTACTTGTGTCTTCAGATGTATGTAATTTATGTAATTTAGTTTTTAAGAGAAATACATTTGGGAACCTTTCTCACAGAACTGACCACGATTCAAAATAGCATGTCAACTGTGAATCAGAGTTATGATGACTTGGGAGCAACACTGAAGGACAAGAGATCAGAATTGGAATCGATGCTTTTAAATATGCAAAACATTCAAGAAGAAACAAGTTCAATGATGGAATGGTTACAGAAAATGGACACAGTTGCAGCCAAATGGGAAACAACTGTTCTTGACAGCGAAACAGTTAAAGAAAAGGTTGATCAGCATAAGGTAAATTCCATCTTCAAAACTTATCTATGGAGAATAATTAATGTATAAAGTGATTTCTTGAGATTAATGGAAAGATCAGCTTAATAATATAGAAGACCATTGTACTATACATTTTTGCACAGACCCGTTGTGGACATCTGCTGAATAGTGGAGTTACTGCTTAGTGATTAAGCAGGCTTATAAATCCCCCAAAATATTTAACAATAAGTAAATTGTATCTGTAGTACAATCAGAATTATACTTTTAATAGCCTGAATTATACTATTAAATTTGTGTAAACAGATAAAGAGATCACCCAGTCACCATTGAAGCCAAAATTTTGATTTTTTAATATACTTTTAAGCATTACACACTTACTTGTGTTTTTGTTCGTTTTGTTGTAGCTGTTTGAAACAGAATTGAAGCAGAATGAGAGTAAAGTGAAAGAGCTGAAGGACAGAGTCACAGAGTTGCTGGAAAAAAACCCTGATTCTTCTGAGGTGCCAAAATGGAAAGAAATGTTAGAGAAAATAGGTATTAACTTTTTGCTTCCTGTAAGCAGTGGATAGATTTGAAAGATAATACGCTAATATATTTAAATTCAGCAGTCATTACCTGCTTGTATATTAAAATTTCTAGTACTACTGTCATTTATACAGCTGCATGTGTTACACTATTACTCTTGTGAAGATTGAAGTTTTCTATAACACTTCAGAATAAACTAGTTCAATGTATTTTTAGTGTAATCTCGGAAGCTTATTCAAGATTAAAATATTAGAAGGTTAATCAGCTATCCCCATTCTTCTGCTATTTCAGTTTAATTAAGACCAAGGCATTGGCACAGTAGAGTTAGTATGGAAAACAGCCTTTTTATGTTTCTTCATGCTGTTTTTTATTCTGTAATACATTTCCCATGTTTTGTGTGATTTGGCTATTTTTCTAAAACATCCCTCTTAGACATTTTTGCCAGATATTAAGAATCTGACCATGTTTGGACAAAAAAGTTATGCATAACAATTCTCCCATTCCCACCTCTCCTGAAATTGTTGAACTTCAAAAAAAATGTTTTTTAACTTGTACATCACTGATTGTAGTGAGCATTGCCATACAAACCTGCAGGACAGGAAGCTATAAATATGTAACAATAATATAAAAAATTGTGAAAGAAATTAAGGAAAGGGCATAGGCAAATAAGCAGATCAGCCTCAAAGAACAATTCCTTTGCAGCAGTATATAAATAGACAGAGATTACATATACAATTAGGCTTTGTTTTAAATTCAGGAAAAATATGTTATGCCCTATTTTCTAAAAATACCTGTTGTTAATACTAAAGGCAGAAAAGCTGCATCATGACAGACATAGAGAGCTAATTCACTGGAGAATTAGCTCCCTCTTCTTCTGCGTAAAGTATTAAAGTATCCTTGACTCACTCAGATTTCAGGCAAAACTCAATTGTGTCCTCAAGACATATCAGAGTGATGCTTAAGCATCACAACACAAGTCCCAATCTTTTTCCAACAAAAGGAGAAACATGGTTACGGATACAGGCAGTCCTCAACTTACGACCACAAAGAAGCTCAAAATTTATGTTGCTAAGTGAAAAATTTGTTAAGCGAGTTTTGCCCCATTTTACGAATTTCCTCGCTACATTTCTTAAGCAAATCACTGCAGTTGGTTAAGTTAGTAACCTGGTTGTAAAGTGAATCTGGCTTCCCATTGACTTTGCTTGCAAAAGGAGATCGTGTGATCCCCGGCACATTGCAGTCGTCATAAATGTGAGTCAGTTGTCAAGCGTCTGAATGTAAATTACATGACCATGGGCATGCCGCAATGTCGTAAGTGTGAAAAACGGACATAAGTTACTTTTTTCAGTGACATTGTAACTTTGAACACTCATTAAGAGAACAGTTGTAAGTCGAAGACTACCTGTACTGGTTATACCATGGTTTATTTTAGCTTCTGTTTGGTGAAAAGTCAGTATACTGATAAGCGATTAAACAACTTGTTATTTGTTATAATAGTGGAGAATATTTGTAGCTCAGGATTGAATTGTGCAATGGTTGTTGCTCTCTGAGCTTTGTTTTTTGCTTCCAGACATTTTATTACCGGTCGATGTCACATTTTCAGTGCTAGAAAAGGGTGGAGTTTGCTCTCTTGTTTATATACAGTAGCTTGCCCTGTTAGGGTTGGTGGAAGTGTTGTTCTCTCCTTGGTAGCTCCTTGATTAGGCTGTTCTTTATTACATAATAGTCTGAGGTGGTAGTTCCTTGATTAGAGTATTGTTTCCTACTTAACTGTTCGTTTGGTATTAATCCCTGCTTATCTTGGTGTGGATTGCTGATTACGAGCTGTATTGGTTTTTTTGTTTCCTTTTTTACTTTCTTTATTGTCTCTTTGGAATGCTGTATAAACAACTGCGTGCCTGTTGATGACTGAAGTGGCTGAGGAATTCCCTGGCATTTCTGGATTGGTTTGGTCTAGGATATTCACAAGGAGGCACGGTGGCAGTTAAAGATGCTGAGCTTGTCAACTGGAAAGCTGACAGTCCAGGTTTGAGACTCGAGCACCGCATAATGGGGTGAACTGGCATTACTTGCCCACTCCTGCCCACCTAGCAGTTCGAAAGCATGCAAATTCAAATAGATAAACAGGAAACACTTTGGTGGGAAGGTAGCAGTGTGTGCCATGCATCTTGCTGTATAATTATGCTAGCCAAATAATCATGGAAAGAGTCTTCCGACAACGCTGGCTTCCTCAGCTAAGAAACAAAGATGAGCATCTCCCTTTAGAGTCACATACAGCTGGACAGGGGAAAACCTTTACCTATACCTTTAGGATCCTCATAGTTTCCTACTTGACACTTTGGTTAAGTTGATCCATGTGCTGTGAAATTAAGGAGGTTTCATTGTGTCTTCTGAATGCTAGTTGTGTCTTCTTCATGGATGTGTTCTGCTAGTCTTCTGCCTGTTTGTTGTAGATAGTGCTGCTACAGTTTTTACACTGAATCATGTAGATGACTCCTGTTTTTTTTCTTGTCCTATTGAGTGTCCCAAAGGTGCTTTTTTTTCAAGAGGCAACTGGTCTTTCTGAAACATGTCCTATTGAATCTTTTGGTTTACTTGAGATATTTTGGAGGAGTTTAATTGGCTGTGTGCTATGGTGATGCCGTAAGTCTGTGGTTGTTTTTGAGAATTATTTTAATGTATGACAGTGTTCTCCTTTTCTTAGCTTGTATTGCTTGTGATATAGTGGGTTGTGTAGTCAGCCCCTTTTTGATAAACTCGCATGGATATCCATTTTTGGGGATATGTTGTATAGCTGGTCTGTTTTTGTTTTCTGATGTTCTAGGTTGTTGCTAATCAGATGTTTGTAGTCATCTGATTAATATTTTTATACAGCTTCTCTTGTGGGTGGCATGTACTCCACTAGTAAAGCTCTTGATTAATGGTGTAATTGAGGATATTTATTTATTTTATTTTATTTAATATTTAATATTATCCAGGAAGGGCAGTGTGTTGTTTATTTCTTTCTCTGAATTTCATTCTTTTGAAATGTTGTTTGAGGTGTCTTCTCTAGTTGTCACTTTTTCATATCATCTACATATCACATCCATACTTTTGCTTGTATGTGTGGGAACGCTATAATCTCCAGGTTCTGCATTGCAGTCTCTGCTATGAGTCCTGAGAATGTTGATCTCATGGGTGATTTGTTGGTATCTTAGTCCATCAAACTGAAAATAAATAGGCAGAATTCGATGAAGTCCATGTGCTTCCACTCTTGAGATTTTCGATAAAACAGTCTTAGACTTGAGGTGTGATGGTCTGAAGAAACTGACATTACTCTAGGCACTTTATGAATAACCTGCTGGGTAGTTAAGAGTAAATTTCTGAAAAATATTGGACCAGTTTGGATGACCTAACATATTACAGACAGCTTGTAACCATCCATCTCCCAAAATATACCTTTTCTCTTCCGGTACGGTTTTTTGCCAGTTATATTATTACCAGCTTCAAAGTGTTAGCTGCTAGTCTCCATTAGTGAAGAAAAGCATTTTCTAAGATGCAATTTTAAAATTCATTGTTTATTTTGTCATAGATTCCAAATGGAGTCAACTCAGCCAGGTAGCAGCTGATAGACAGAAAAAAATGGAGGAATCGTCAAATTACCTGACCCAGTTTCAGGCAACTGAGGCTCAGTTAAGCCAATGGCTGGTTGAAAAAGAATTAATGATCAGTGTGCTTGGACCACTATCAATTGATCCAAATATGCTAAACACACAGAAGCAGCAAGTCCAGGTAAACATTTTACTCTGTTTTTGTAATGGAGCTTGTAGTTTTTTTCTGTTCAAAATATAGCCAAAGTAAATTTTCTAATAGATTTATCTATAACTCTTGTGTAGTATACTTTTCTCCCCTGCAAGCTACATATTTCCTAATGAATATAAAAAATTAACAATAAGTTTGCTCTGCTAAAAAAAAAAATTAAGTGTCTTTCAGAGGTTGTATTCACTGAGGAGGCCTAGTGGTGGTCTCTGAGCTTAGAGTAATCTGCAACATATTGCATTAGGAGTGTAATAGCCACTATATAGGCAGAAGACTAGCAGAGTGCATCCATAAATACCAACGAGTGGTTGTCAGAAGTCATGATGAAAATTCCTTAATCTTGCTACACATGGACAAACCCAACCATAGTTTCAGTTGACATACTGTGAGAATCCTAGATCAAGCTAAATCCAAAAAAAAGCTAGGAAATTTCTGGAAGCTTGGCATTCAGACAAATCAGGCATCAGTAAACACAGAAAAATAACTACACCTACATATTCAAAGAATGTGATAAAATATAGATATATTGTTATAATAAAAAAAGAAACAAAAAATCTTCAGTCAGTAAAACGGTCATTAACGCCAGATAATCATACAGAAAACAATACTGTAATCAAGGAACTGCCAAGAGGAAAGCCACTACCTTCCCAATCCTGCAAGGCAAGCTATTGTATATAAACTTGAAGCAAACCCCACATTCACTAGCACTGATAATGTTACCTAGTTGAGTAATGAAATGTCTGCAAGCAAGCAACTAAGCTCAGAGACCCTGCATCAAGGACTCCACAGTTCAACCCTGAGCTATATATATTCTGTTGGAAGTATTAAGTATTTTCCATCTATTTCCAATGGTCTACTGAAATTAACATCTCTCTGTCTATACATCCCCCCACACACAAACTTTAAATTATATATAATGGCGTTGGCCAAGATAGACTAAAGCACTTACCTTAAGAGTATGGAATTAAAGTTAAAGAAAGTTGTCCTGTTAGATGGTGTTGATTGTGACTTAATCACAGGTAACTATACTAGAACTGAAGCCAGTATTTATTATCATTAAGCCTATTTACTGACAAATAAAAAGACCATATGCGGCCAGTTGGATTTTTGCCGTTTTATGTAGAGAGGAGATAAGCTGTTAAACAGGAATAGCCTTTCTAAGTCTAAATAATGAATTTGCATGTACAAATATGGCTTTGGCAGAACAACTTCCATTTATATGAGAGATGGTTACTTGGTCAAACTCAAGTAACAAACTAGAGTGAAGATGGTTCTTCCTTGTACTTGTCCAGAATTAACTTCTAACATATTCTGCCTCTTCAGATTCTGCTCAAAGAGTTTGATACCCGAAAACCCCAGTATGAACAGCTATCTGAAGCAGGTCAGGGAATCCTGCAGAGGCCAGGAGAACACCCACCTACTCATGAAAGAGTGAAGCAGCAGCTGACAGCAGTGGCCCAGAAATGGGATGCTTTAACAGGACAGCTGAGTGGCCGCTGTGGTCGAATTGAACAGGTCATTGTCAAAAGCACAGAGTACCAGAACTGTCTGAAAAGCCTCTCCGAGAAACTTAGCACGCTGGAGAATAAATTCCGCCAGAACCTGGCTATAAGTGCAGACCCTGACTCTGTCAAGCAGCAACTGGAAACGGCTCAGGAAATAAAAGGCGAAATAGACCAAGAAATGTTACACATAAATGGGGCTCAGGTTGTGTGCGAGGAATTGTCTGCGTTGGTGGCAGAAGATTACTTGAGAACTGAACTCGTCAGGCAATTAGAAGCTGTCTTAAAGCCTTTCAAGGAGATGGAACAGAAAGCAGGTAAGTGGCAAAGCAGTTGAAAAAATAAAATCCTAAATAGTGGGAAAATGCATCATTTCTTGGAATGAAAATTAGCCTTACACTAAAATCAAGGTTGCCGTTATCCCCCAGATAGTTAGGAGACGTTTGAAAGAAAAGAGAGATCCCTTGGGGCCTGAATTGTGTGGATGGGGAGTGATAGGTCTGTTTTTCTAGATTTGACTGGTATGTTGGATTTCTCTATTTGATACTAAATGAGACACAATTGATAGAAGATTTATACACATGAACAGATTATTTCAGCACCATGAACTACCACACTCCTTATTCCCTGTTAATTGAATTAGTAATACATGTTGTTTCTATTACACTGTACTTGGAAGTCCCTCTGAAACTGATGATAATCCTGGACATGATTTTTTTCCCCTCAGATTCATAGGAATATCTCAATTTAAGATTCTCTCAAAGGTGCTTTTTCAAGAGTCAACTGGAGTTTCTGGTTTTTCTCTGAAGAAGCTTGTTGGATGAAAAAGTAAAACCAGAAACTTGATTCTTGAAAAAACACCTTTGAGACAACCATGACCCGAAATGACTGAGAATCTCCATAGTCAATTTAAGATTGTTTTGCTACTTCTGACTTTATTTTACCCCTTAAAAGATTCTTACATTATTCAAATACTATACATTTTGACTAGCTAAATCCAAATTGTTATATAATAATGGCATACATTTCTTAGAAATAACAATTATCTTTGTCTGAAATAAAACCCATCCTATTCTAACTTTGACTTGGCTTATTTCAAACAGTATTTTTTTTTAAATCTTTTTCAGGCAATCTCATTGACCAGCTTCAGTTAACCTATGCAAGTTCTCATCAATTCCAACAAATGTCTAAAGACTTTCAAGCATGGCTGGACATAAAGAAACAAACACAAAATCAGTCTCCTCCCATTTCCACTAAGCTAGAAAGCCTGCGGTCATTAATTGAGGATCAGAAAGAATTTAAGGCAGCATTGTCTGACCAGATTGGTTCATATGAAAAAATAATTTCAGAAGGTGAAAATCTGCTTCAGAAGACTCAAGGGGCAGAAAAAACAGAATTGCAGTCCCAACTCAACAGGCTCAAAGCAAATTGGGATGAGCTGCATAAACAAGTGAATGAGAGGCAAGATAAGTTGAATGACTGTTTGGAAAAGGCTCTCCGATACAAAGAACACGTGGAGGTCCTGCAACCCTGGATAACCAAGTGCCAAAATAACTTAGCAGAAATTAAAATAGGTATCGATCCTGTTGAGATAGAGAATTCCATTGCTCAGGTGAAGATTTGGCAGAAGGATTTGGATAAACACCAAGGAATTGTTGAGCTGTTAAGTAATACAGCAGAGAGTTTTCTTAGCGCCTGTCAAACTGATAAGGATATTATTGAAGAGGAAAAGAAACTATTGATACAGAAGATGGATATGGTCACAGAACAGTTACATATTAAAACAGATACTCTGGAAAAGATGTCTCAGAGATTAAAAGAGTTTCAGGAATCATCCCAGGACATTAAGGAGCAGTTGAAGAACACTAGGGAACAGTTAGAAATACACAACGCTCTTAAACCTCAGACTTACAGTATTAAACACTTAACTATTATGCAGACTCAGCAGAAAGCCCTTCAGACATTGAAGTCACAAGTGGATGTGACAAAAAAACTTGCCCAAGACCTGGTAGTGGATGCTTCTGATTCAGCAAACATCTCTGACATCTTGTTGCAAGCAGAATCGTTAGAGGAAGAATTCAACACCGTCAGCCAGCAAGTTGAGGATGAATGTTCCTTCCTGGAGACTAAGCTCCAAGGAATTGGCCATTTTCAAAATACCATTCGAGAGCTGTTTTCTCAATTTGCAGAGTGTGATGACGAGTTGGATAGCATGGCTCCTGTGGCCAGGGACCTTGTCACTCTGCAGTCCCAACAAGAGGCTATAAAAGTTTTCCTTGAAAAATTACAGGAACTGATAAGCAACAACGAAAATGCGAACAAGTCATGTAAAGTGATGTTAGCAAGTGAAGCAGAGGCGTCTCCTGATCTCGCAGGTATAAAAAGGGATTTAGAGGCTCTGAATAAGCAGTGCAACAAATTACTGGACAGAGCAAAAACCAGAGAAGAGCAGATCGAAGGGACTATTAATCGTGTGGAAGAATTTTACAGCAAACTAAAGGGATTTGCCAAACTGCTTGAGGAAGCTGAAGAACACGAAGAGTCCCAAGGCCCTGTTGGAATGGAAACAGAGATTATTAATCAACAACTGAAAGTATTTCAGGTAAGACAATTCCCCCCTATAGCTTTAAAACAGAGCTGTCAAAATACTATAGGCAGCAAATTTGTTACTACCGTTAACTCATTATCTGTCGTTCCACATATTTGTGATTGATGAGTTCAGGCCTTGGTGTGCGTTCAAGATTTTTGGAGTATCCACAGTTTTAGCCTTGGTTTTCAATTTTTTAAAACTGTTTTTAAATATGTGCAAACTTTTGCATGTTTTAAAACTTTCCGAACTGTTAGGTTTTCCGCACGATATGCTTGTATTGTTGTTTTCCACTCTTCGATGCAGCTCTCACTGGTTTCTCTATGCTGCAGAATTGTTTCACAGTGCTGATGGAGGTGCCTCCTGATTGTGTTGTTGGATGATAGCACTGCCCATAGAATCCTAAGTGAATTATAACAACATTGTGACTGTGTATAGATGTAAATGGAATGGAATTGGATTTAGTCTTTGCTTGTGTAGGTCTGTATCTCTTACGTAGTCTTGCCCTTTTTTGGAAATAAGCCCATACAATGTTGTGTGAAGGCCAAATATGGTTCTCATTCCCCTCACCCCCCCCCATCCCCCCGAAAAGAAGCTTCTTTAAAAGTTGCAGTAGACCTTGAGATGCTTTCAGAAACTGTATTTCGCCCCCGCCTTTTGTTGTTCTGTCCTGCTTAGATACTTTCAAGAAAATTGGAGGGACAATTTATAGTTAGTGGCAGCCTCAAACCACCCTTCTTTTCACATCCAGGTGAAATGCAGGCAGAATAGTAACCTGAGAGACAGACATTGCATAAGGAATTCAGTTTCAGTCACCCCACACCAAGACCCATTAGACCAGGGGTGTCCAACCTTGGCAACTTTAAGACTTGTGGACTTCAACTCCCAGCAAAGCTGGCTGAGGAATTCTGGGAGTTGAAGTCCACAAGTCTTAAAGTTGCCAAGGTTGGACACCCCTGCATTAGACTGTCATGCAAGAAGAAGCAGATGCAGCTCCGATTAGTGCTTTAATATCAAACAATTCCAAAAGGAAGACAATAAAGAGAACAAGAGAGGAGGAGGAGGCTATAACTTGTGTTCTTGTCAACAGCTGGCAGAGACATCATAAATTTTCATGCTTACATATATTGCAAAGTCCTAAGTGAAGCCAAGCCAAGCATTTGTTCCAGGGGGTTGTCCAAGAGTCACAACTTGGGATCAGGCCAAGAATTATGTACACAAGAGGACCTGTCTAAGTTAGGTTCCCAAGATCAGGGAAGGTGCCAATCTCATCAGGAAAACAAAAGAATCTGGAGGTGAGGCGAGGCAAAGGCCAATAGCTTGTGTAGTTCTGCTGAAACACAGCTCTGGTTTCTATCTTTTAAGCCAGGCTCTCTTCCAAAAAAAGCCGTCTGGCAGAATTTATTTTAATCTCTAGTGAGTCCAAGGATCACCACTGCGAGAGAAAAAGAAATCACCCTGCATTGGACTTCAAGGCATAAACTTGAATTTCATAAGCTGTTCATTAGAACTACCCAGGATAATGATGTAGGCTGGAAGAGTCCTTAGGCTGTAGAGAGAAGAAACCAAGCAAAAGCTTTTTTTTTTTTTTTTGGTCTGCTATATTAACTCAGAGGAGACTGATGTAACATGCTTAACATGGGGCTGTCCTTAAAAAGGCACTGGAAGCTTAAGCTGCTTCAAAGTGATGCCACAGTATTGTTAACTAAGGCTTAAATTAAATTCAAATTTGTTTATTACAGCCCTGAGGCCAGATAACAAATAAGATATTGAATAAAAGAAGTTTTAAAATGAAATGTATGTATGTATGTATATAATATGAAGTTTTACGTGTGGAGAGAGAGAGAGAGAGAACATGTATAATGGGATCTAAAAATAATTAGAAATATAGTTACTAAAATAAACCCCTACTATAAGAATTTCCAGTCCTAAATATGGAGTATCATACAAATGGTAGCACAGAACTGGGTGACTAGAGAGGTTATTTTTGAGTCCTTGCTGAAGAATAGTTATTATCTAGGGCTCCACAAGAAGACTATTTCATTCCAATATGGTTATGTTTATTTTGAGGTTGAGTTCAAAATGCTTCTTACTTTTAAAGCTCAGTTGGGTTTGGAGTTGCTTGATAATTCTAATTCTGCAAGATCAAATGTGGGTCGATCATTGAGACCAGGGATTTAGTCTTCCAAGCTTTTGTGCTGGAGCCCATCTTCAGGGAACTTCTGTCTGCTGGAACATGTGCCGTGAGCTAATTCTAATTCTCTAATTTGATATCACAGACATAGATTAACTGGCATAAGCAGATAATAAGTATTATAATTAATACATTGGAATCGTGATAATTAGTAATTGCTTTCTTTCATATATTTTCAGTGATGCATTCCAGTAAGTGTCTGTAAACTTGCTTTTTGCCCAACCTCAACACAAATATAATGGTTGGAAAGAGAAATGGAATACCTACAGTCATGGCGTCAGGTGTTTTGTAACATTCTTCCTAGAAGCCGTACATGCCCACATCACTATAAACATTTCATGAACTGATTGACTCCTGACACTTTTAGGAAGCCTTTAGGTAGGGTCAAAGACAATTTGAAAAACTTTTGCTAATATGTCCAATTTCTGCCCACTCTGTTGCCTTGTTTTTTTCTTTCACAGGGAGCCATTGTACTTAATCACTTTGGCCTTCTATATTGGAGTGTCATCCACTTGAAACAGGCCAGGTCAGAAAATAGACACTGTAAGAATTACTGGAACCATGCTTTAATGTTGTATGACATAAAAACAGAATTTTGAAGGTCTGACAGAGATTCTCTCTATCTTATACCAAAGAAAGTCAAGGCATAGCAATCTAGAGTTTCTTCCTCAGTAATTCCTGTCTTTCTGGGCAAAACACATATTTTCCTAACAAGTCTTCATAATGATTATTGCAGTCCTTCTTCATTGTCATCACCTTTATATGAAAAAAAAGCAATGCTGTTTCCCAGAAAATGCAGGTCTGACTGGGTGAGAAAAATAAAATGTCCGGAAGCAATGTTGTCCATTCCATCCTCAAACTGTAAAAGAGAATTAAAACTACCCTTTTTCAAAGCAGAATAAAACCTGCAGAAAAATGTTAAGCGCTTATAAAGTTCCAAAATTTGGGAAATCTAATTAAGGACTTTTTTATGTTGTTTTATCAATAAGAATAAAATGCAAAGGAGAAAAACTGAAAAACAAATATCCAATACTAAAATTGTATACAAAAAGGGTAAAGAAAAGGATCCAAATATCAGATCAATTTAACATTAAACAATATAGAATCCATCTGGGCTGTTTACTGAGAACAAAAAATGAAAAACTGATAAATTCTCCTCTTTACATAGCAACTCTATAAATAGTTCTAAGCTCTCCCACCACGATGAAACCGAAATACTTTTACTGCTTTGATTAGAGACAGTGGACTAGACAGCTTTATAAGAGACTGGAAGCCGTTTGTGGACTTTCTATGTATTAAATGCAATAACAGATGGTTAACAGAGGGATTTGAAGATTAGTGTAATGTTTGAGTTAACCGATTGACTGTGTGTTTTGTCATATAAATGATCAGATAGTGGGTCGATTTGATTGCCAGATAGAGATTCCCTCACCTGGAATATTTGTTTGTCTATTATAAGGACTGGTATTAAAATGTGGAAGCATGCATGCTATGCACATTTTGCTATATTGGTATGCCAAATAATGTGATTTAAAAACAGTAAAAACTCAAATGCCCCTCTCCAAAAACTTCTATCAGTTTCAATACAACATTCCCCTTCCCAATTCTTTCTCCTTGTTGTACAAAATCAGTTGATGTTTAGCTGTTTATTGCTTATACGAAGGCAATTTATATGAAGGATTTAAAAATACAATTAGGACAAATGTGAATGAAATAAATAAGTAGGTAATATAAATGAGTTAGTGAGTTTTTTAAAAAAAATGTGTATCAAGAATAATATCTACAGGTGTTTTTGTAATCAGATAGAATTATTTTTCAAACACTAGCTGAAAATGGTACTGAGGAATCTTGCAACGCTCATGCAAGTGTGCCCCCAAGCCTCCGCAATGCTTGTGAAAGTGGGATTGTGTGTGCATATGCACCAGCTGGTCACTCACATGGCCCAGTTGCAGTCCACAGGTTGTGTTAGATGGAGTAGTGGGCTGTAGCCCACAGGTTGTGTTAGATGGAGAAACACATGGGACTTTCTTGAAATTAATGGCATAGTCATGATCAGATGGAACTTCCTAAAATGTAAGTTTGGAAGATTATTTAACAGTTCAGTAGACCTGAATTAAGAAGTACATGGGCTGGGAAAAATAGTCTTTCACAATTGTTCACTTTTTATGGGAATATTTTTATTCAGAAATGTGTTATTTTCCTTAATTAAAGTGGTTATTCTGCCCAGTGTTGTCACTCTGTTTTGTATTTCATTTTTAATTCAAGTCAGGAGTAACAGTTTACATTCTTGCATTTGTTTGATTTTCACAGTGTAGTCTGAGAACCAGGAAATGAGAATAAGGGCAAAACTATCAATTCCATTTCCAATGGCCTGAACTGAGTTATAACAAAGGGCATATTGTTAGTTTTTCAGAGGAAGTTGTTAAATAGAATTTTAGTCATGTTGTGCGTGTGGAGTACAAATATCAAGTGAAGGCAACGTTACTTTGCATCCTTTTACTTCCAGAATGCCTGCTGATGTCGGCAGTAAATGTTTATGGATAAGACCAGCCTGTTAATTTAAACTGATTTTTTAGCATTGGAGACAGTTCCTAGTAGCCAGGACCATCTTGTAGAGTGTCAGGTTACCCGGCTTGACATTTTGAACTAATTATCATGCTTTCTTACTCTGTTCCAAACCATTACTGTGTCTCGTTTCCGTCAGGGTTACGGAGGGATAGATCTGATGTGCTGAGTGCTGATAGGAACTTGCGCCTCTGTATTATCCCCCCTGAAAGGGCAAAGAGACAAGACAAACAGTAAAAGTGAGACATGGCTAAGC